AGGCTGTGGTGTGGCTCTCTGCAAACTTTCATGTTTCAATGTTTATCACACGAAGAAAAACTAATAAAGAGGTATGGAAAGGAATTTATTGCATACTATATTGCATTTTAATTAGTTCCTGAAAATTTCGTTTTTAAAAACCAATTTTTGTTGAAGTTGTTTAGGAAAAAGTAACTACATGCATTTTAGCGACATAAGGTTTAAAGGGCCTGCCAGGACAGGGGTGGGATTTAAATACCCTTCGCACCAGTCAAAGAGTTAATGTCCGTTGCCGATTGGTCCCAGCATTTTTCTGGACATATCAGACTTCTTTCTCCTGTCAGGAATCAAATTCAGCCACTAAACCTCTATGCATTCCTCTGACATCCAGTGGGCCATATATTTTAGTGGTTATGATCAGGGATCGTAGTGGTACCAGAGATGCAGAGTTGCAGGCTGGCTGGATTTGTTGTGGATTTTACCTGTACTTGTGGTGGATACAACTTTGTGAATGCAAATAATGCCTGGGCCCCATCAGGGTTCAGGGCCAACTTCAGCTGTACGTCTCCTCTGCTAGCTGTTATACTCATCCTAGCATTCACACTGTCTCATTTATGTTACCACCTCAGAAGTAAACTTAATCGTCACTTTTTGCCAAGACAAATATAGGTTGATGAAAACCTTAACTAGAGGCATCAGTCAAAAGTGTTTTAACCTCCTCTTATAACAAACACAAAAAGTATGAATATAGTATTTTAGTATCCTGCTAGACTGTTTTATCACTTGATGTCTGTACACAAACACAGTCTTCAGAGCAGCTGTCCATGGGATTCCTGGTTCAACCACTCCAATTTTATGTACTTCCGCTACTGCATGACATGTTTTGGTCTCAGAAGGGCCATTGTCAGGTGTGTATGTAGTTTCATGTAAACTGTTTCACTGTTGACACATTGACCATGTGCCTCACACAAAACTAATTATTTTTATTGTGCTCAAAATTTAAACGTTGACAAGTTAAAAATAAAAATTAAAAAGTCGTGTGTTGCTTTTTTAATGTCACGTACTTCTTTGTTGGTGTGTGCCTGTAATGTGTCAAAGTTCTTACATCACACATAACCTTTGTTATTTATAACTGAATTATGTCTATGTGCATATGTGAAGTTGTGATAGAAGCAGCGTCTAGAAAATTATATGCCTAGATTGCGAAGTAAAATACATGGGACTAACAGATAGAAGGTTCAACACCAGATACAAAAACATATACAAGCAATAAGAAATAGCCAAGGTAGACGAAACTGTTTAACCTTTCATGAACCAGGGTAACTCTGAATATTTAAATTACAAAATAAACACAGGATGCAAATATGGTACCATAGCTGAAACAATGGATGTTATCAGGACAGGAAAGAAAGGAAAACATTTCAAGGTAATGTAACGTGTTTCGTTACTGAATACGCCGTAGAGATCGTTAATTGGTTTATTTAACAACCTACAGATCACGGCTACAATTAATTATAACAATGTTAACGGGTTTCCACACTTTACAAACCCTACAACAAAATCTCTTAACAATATCTTCAAGAGTCTTCACGTATTAACTCTTTGACTGGCAAGGGCGTGTTTTAACGCCCGGACGATGCCAGCCGTTCCCTGGCGTTGGCGTGTTTTAACGCTTTGACAATCTCTTCCCTTCTTTGCTCTCTTGGCACTCATCAATCAAAGACATATATATGATAGTTTTTGTGCATGTTTGTAAAGAACCCTTGTAAACTTTGTGGGGGTCTATATTACTGTCAGAACCCTCTGAGAAGGAAAAGGTCAGAAAATATTTCACATTCATTCAGTTTCACCATGGCTTCTTGCAGCATGTGTCTTCGTGTTCCTACAG